GGAGGGAGTTGAAAGTCCATGTTGCCCAGCGACAGCCCCAAAACATCACTGCTCTAGAGGAGATCTGCATGGAGGAATGGGCCAACATACTAGCAACAGTGTCTGCCAACCTTGTGAAGACTTACAGGAAACGTTTGACCTCTGTCATTGCCAACAAAGGATATATAACAAAGTATTGAGATGAAGTTTTGATATTGACCAAATACTTATTTTCCACCATAATTTGCAAATAAATTCTTTCCAAATCAGCCAATGTGATTGTCTGGATTTTTTTTTCTAATTTTGTCTCTCATAGTTGAGGTCTACCTATGATGCCAATTACAGGCCTCTCTCATCTTTTTAAGTGGGAGAACTTGCACAGTTGGTGGCTGACTAAATACTTTTTTGCCCCACTGTATATACCCCTAGAGAGCCTGAAGGTGCTCCTTGGATTTTGGACCCCTCTGTTTGCCTAGGCTGTGAAATAGTCACATACATGTGGTTTCCCCATACCTGGAGACATTCACCGAATGTGTTTTGGGGTATAATACTAAGTATGCCTATAATGTGTATTGGAAATATTTTACTAATTGACAACTTTGTCTAAAAATAAATAAATAAATAAAATTTTATTTCCTGCATTTTCCAAATACTTGTGGCAAAAAAATGGCATTTTCAAAAGACACATTAATACTGTGGAGTGTTTGCTTTGCAAAATGGGATCATTTTGTGGGTGTTTCCACTGTCCTGGTGCGCAGAGACCTCCAAAAATGTGTTAGGAAGTCAGGAAATTAGATGTGTATTTTATGCACAATTTCTGTTCCTTGAAAGGTGCTTCTTGGATTTTGGGCCTGTGCATCTGTGAAAGTCTCAACCATGTGGTATCCTCATACGTGGGAGGAATATCAGAATGTGTTTTGGGGTTTAATGGTTAAATGCTAAGTAAGTATGTGTGTATATATATGTGTGTATATATATATATATATATATATATATATAATTTTATTTTTTTTTGTAATAATGATTATTATACACTGATTTGGGTTTTTATCAATGAAAGAAATGTACATTTTGGCCTATATTTATCATGAAATATTATTTATCATGAAATATTATTTATTTGCAAAGTTTATAACAAAGAAAAAAATTTTGTTTTTTTTTCAACATTTTAGTTTTTTTTTTTCTATTTATATAGCAAAAAAAAAACAAAAACAAATATTGATTAAATAACAGCACAAGAATCTGTCCCCCAAAATTAACAATTTCATTTGGGTACACTGTTGCATGAGTTACTGTCATTCAAAATGTGACAGCACCAAAAGCTGAAAATCAGCCTGGGAAGGAAGGGGGGGGGGGGGAAAGTGTCTGGTATTGAAGTGGTTAAGTTGAGAAAGATGCTATATATTTTTCTTCTTAGTGTACATGGTGGTTGTGCAATTTTTACTGTTTAATGTTCAGTGCAGTGTACTGGGTGGAATGGTATGCAGACTAGAATAAGTAGCACAATGTTTTGAATGTGGTGGTATGCCAAATAAATAGCTATACAGAAAGCACAGAGTGAGGAATTTAAAGTTTTTAAAAAAAATTTTGTACAGATTCTATACATGTACCACAACATACAGTGAAATGTTTTGTGAATCATAAAATGCACCACACAGAGTATAGTATAGATTCATGTGGAATGTTGTGTGACATTTAGATCATCTAGCTCCGTATGCAAAATGTGAAGTAGACAGCACATCATCCATAAAAATATTCAAACAGATAAACCAGATTAAAAAAACAAATGTTACAGACCAAAAGGTAGAAACACAAAAGTTCATTGTTAGGTTTACTGGATGAAGCCCCAGCCACAATACCCTAAAGTGAAGTGGTGGAGCTCAAAATGTCCACATTAATGAGATGTGTCCTGATGTATTATAGCTGCACTTCTGGTCAGATGATCATGTCACTTCCGGTCCCTGGGTAGCAGCATCTGTGGAAATCTGGCAGCTGCTGAAACCACTTTTCACCATTTCCCCCATACTCTGATGGCCAAAATTGTGGATACACCTTACATTTTTACAAACTTTTTCAGTTTAAAGTACTTTTTATATAAAAATCTCTAAAAATGGCATAGCACAAGTAAAATTTAATATATCGTAAATGGATGCCTTAACAAAAAATCTTTAAATAAGTTCAGTTTTGGCTGGAAATGTACCATAATGCATCTTGGCTATTATATAGCATACAAATTATAATTTCAAGTTTGTCACAATGTGTTTTTTCAATAACGTGTTTGATAGCCTTTGGCCTTAACTACTGCCTGACACCTTCTAGGCATTGACTACAAGTCTTTTGACATCCTCTTCTGTAATCAAATGATGCCTGGAATTGATTATAGCCTCAATGAGTCCTCGCTTGTTTCTTGGATTCTTGAGACCATGCGTTTCAATCTTGACCACAGATTTTCGATGGGATTCAAGTCAGGGCTATTTCCAGGTCAGGGAAGCAGAGAAATTTTTCTTGTCATTGAACCATTTAAGGCATTTACGAGTTGTATGGCATGGAGCTCCATCCTGTTGAAAAGTAAATTCTGTGCCTTTGTACGCTAAGTCGCTTATTGATGGGATCAACTTTGGTTCCAGGACCTCTTTGATGTATCGCTCTGCATTAAAAATGCCATCAACTATCTGCATTCATTCGTCCAACACCATACCAAGACATGCAGCTCCAGATCATGACGCATTGAGGGTGTTCTATTGTTACTGTCATGCACTCAGGAAGGCATTCTTCGCCTGACCTTCTTCGCATGTATCGAACACCATGGCTTCCGAAAATAGAAATTTGTGTTTCATCACTCCAAATAATTTTTTTCCAATCTTCTGTTGTCCAATTTTGATGTTCCTTGGCCCATTCGACTCTTTTCTTACTTTGTTGGCAGTTCAAAAATGTTTTTTTTTTCTTGGTATTCGAGCTCTTATTCCAGCAGCAACAAGCCGACTTCTTACTGTTCGGTCAGACACTGACAGTCCTCCGTCTGACAACACCTTGTTGATATCCTTGGCAGAGGATTTTCTATTCTGCAAAGCAAGTCTTGCAATTCTTCTGTCAGTTTTGAGTGTTGTAGCTTTTTTCCTTCCTCTGCCTTGTTGCGTTTTGCTACTTTTGATGTTTGTAAATTGCGCACACAGCTTCTGAACTACGAATGCAGAAACTCCTTGACCCATTTTCCTGGCAATTTTGCAAAAAACGATAACCTTCATTTCTTAATGTTATTGCTGTTGCTCTTTTTTTTGGTGACTAGTCTGACCTTTTAATTGATGGCATCATTAATTTCTACAAATATAGTTATTTAACCACTTGCCTAAAGGGCACTTATACCCTCTTCCTGCCCAGGCCAGTTTTCAGCTTTCAGCGCTGTAGCTTTTTGAATGACAATTGCACAGTCATGCAACACTGTACCCATATGAAATTTTTATAATTTTTTTGAGACGCATGGAGCTTTCATTTGGTGGTATTTAATCACCTCTGGGTTTTTTATTTTTTGCTAAACAAACCAAAAACAACTGACAATTTTGAAAAAAAAAAGTTTTTTTCTTAGTTTTTGTAAATAAGTGATTTTTCTCCTTCACTGATGTGCGCTAATGAGGCTGCAGTGATGGGCACTGATGAGGAGGCACGAGTAGGTGGTGTCACGATCGCAGCGTCAGACCCCAGACCTTCTCACCAAACTCGTGACCAAAGGACTAACCAATCTAAAAACCGCGATGTCACGTGCGTAACAATGCCACACCCAGCTGCACCCTGCACAACGATTTTTCAGCTAATTGGACCACAATCGATATACCGGCAGCCTGAGCGATTGTTACTGGGTCAGGTTAATTATGCAATTAACCCTTCACACTGCCACCACCTCCTTTTTGTACAGAGAAAGAGGAAACTTGGCAATCTCAGCAATAACACTATAATGGTTGAGGTAATTGTCTGCATAACACGGTTATACAGAGGGTTAAACAAACACAATAGGGTTCTCTTTAGAGGCAGGAATTCGTAAATTGCAATAAAGCGCTATAGAAACAGTTCAACACTTTCAGAAGGAAAGATTTATTACTAAAAGGTCAAACGGGTGCAATAAAAATATTTACAGAAAAGAGGTAACTAAGATATTTTATATAAACATACAGAGACTAACAGCACAGCAAAGAGATATCATAGAGAGGTGAAAGGGTTAAGGTACTTGCCAAAGTCCTGGGTTAGCAGATCCAAGTTTCAGAGCAAAAGGGCACGGGTCTCCATAGGTGGTATTGATATTTTGATATTAAGATGGGAGACGTCTTCCACTCCCACTTTTAGGCCTGACAGCCTATTTTGTAGTCCCCAGCAGGGGGTGTCTCTGAAGTCCAGGACCAATACACCGTTTAGGGCATGTAGGTATGGGTGGATACCTCAACTAGAGCCCAAATCTCCCATAACTCATATTTTGGCCTATAACTTTCCAGCTGCATTCCAGTGACATTCCACCCCGCGTGTAGATTATTATGCAGACACGTCTGAAGATTAATTAGATATGAATTATGAAATTATACACTGTACGGTTCACAAGATCTACTTTTCTGTTTTCCTATGTATCCGTGACAATGCGAGTGACCTATCAAACTGTTCGCCTGCTCATTGCCCATCTGACGATATGCCTGGTTTTTATGTAAGTCTCTCATATTCCAAAATATGAGACATAGGGGAAAGATGGATTTTAACAAAGGTTATCTGATTCTGTCACCTACGCGGAGTTAGGTTGGAATCTCTTTCAACTCCTGGGAAAGCTTGCCTTATCTCTTCCGCGTTGTTACAATTTGCAGGTTCTTTGGACAGGGAGGCCCTGGCTCCCTTGGGGGGCTTTATAGCTCCTATGACCCTCCTGTGACATTCCCAACTCACACACATCTTACCAAATGTCGCTGGGCCTCTCCGATAGGGAGGGGGGGAAGAATGAGGGAGAAATATGAAGATTCTTAAAATGAAGGCTGCGTCAGTCTCTGGGTATACGCTTGTTACAGGTGGCACTGGTGGGCATTGACAGGCATCACTGATGGGCACTGAAAGGCAGCACTCATATATTGCATTGATAGGTGGCACTGATTGGCAGCACTAATAGGTGGCACTGAAAGGCAGCTCAGATGGGCACTGATATGCGGCATTGATGTGCACTGGTAGGCACTGATATGTGGCATTGATGAGGCACTGATGGGCACTGGCAGGTGGCATTGATGGGCAATGACAGCTGGCATTGATGGGCACTGACAGGTGGCACTGCTGGGGCTACACTGATCATCAGGGCACACTGATCATCAGTGCCCTGATGATCAGTGTAGATGTCCCCTCCGAGGAATACCGATTACCGGCTCTCCTCTCGAGCTGTCAGCGTAACAGCTCGTGAGGAGAGAAATGCCAATAACCGGCATTTCCCTATTTACATGTGATCAGCTGTGATTGGACACAGCTGATCACATGACCGAGCCGACATCTTCGGCTTTTTTTCCGTGGATTGGTGATCCGCTGTGTCCCTGGGACCCTGGGCCGGCGGTTAGAGTGGAAGGACGTCATATGACGTCCTCCCAGAACAAGAGAACCGCGTTGCGCCGGTCATTACCTTATATGGCGGGCGGGAGGCGGTTAAGTACATTTTAGGTCAAAACAGCACAATATTATTTCAATTTATTTAATTCTAATATAATTAAAAAAATACATAAAATGGAAAATAGTTTCCTAAGCTCTCTATAAAATTGCAGTTATTGCAACTAGAATCTCTGTTATGCAACATGATGCTTTATTCTGACCAAATACTATAAAATTTGTTTGTCCCGCGGATCACCGCCACAGATGTCAGTCGCCGGGTCACAGCCGCTCCTTAGCAGCTATGTCCCGGCGATCGGCGGCAAACAGTGACAGACAGCACAGCTGCAATAGCTGTGCTGTCTGTCACTTCCCTGTCAGCTCGAGGATGAGCTGATTGAGAAAGAACAGCCCCCTAGTAAAACACTCCCCTCACTCCTATAACCCTTCCCTGCAAAATAAAGTTAACTCCTTCCTCCCCATAGCCATTAGTACAGTGTCAGTTTTTTTTTTTTTTTGCACTGATCACTGTATTAGTGTTTTTGGGGATGTCAGTGACCCCAAGTCAGTACCCCCCAATGTCAGAATGTCCGCCGCAGTCCCGCCATAAGGTCGCTGGTCGCTGCCATAAGTCCCTGATCGCCGCCATAATTTGCTGATCGCCGCCATAATTCGCTGATCGCCGCCATTATTAGTTTAAAAAAAAACCTAAAAATCCCAGTATCTTTCCCGCCATTTGTAAACGCTATAACTTTCACGTAAACCAATTAATTTACATGTATTGGGTTTCTTTTTAGCAAAGACATGTCGCAGAATGCATTTTGGCAGAAATTTATGACTAAATTTGATTTTTGCATTTTTTTTACTGGACATGTTTTATAGCAAAAAGTCCAAAATATTGTTTTTTTTTTCTCAAAATTGTCAGCCTTTTTTTTTATAGCGCAAAAAATAAAAAACCGCACAGGCGATCAAATACCCCCGAAAGAAAGCTCAATTTGTGGGGAAAAAAAGGATGTACCGTATTTTTGGCTCCATAAGACACACTTTTTTCCCCCAAAAAAGGGGGGGAAAATGTCAGTGTGTCTTATGGAGCGAATATAAAGCGGCCGGTCCGGTATTTTTGCGGCCACCATGTCAGAATACCGGGCCGGCCGCTCAGCTGTTGTCTCCTGCAGGGCCTTACCTGTTCCTCGCTCCAGCGCTGCACAGTCTTCCCGCGCTGGCTTCTGTGACAGCCGGGTGCCCACTGCGCATGTGCTGCGCTTTGTGAATGATCCGGTGTCTTCTGGGACACATGAAAGGTCCCAGAAGGCGCCAGGCCATTCACAAAGCGCAGCGCTTCTCGCACATTCGCAGTGGGCACCCGGCTGTCACAGAAGCCGGCCCGGGAAGAAGAGGGAAGGACAACTCCGCGGAAGTGGGAGCAGGTACCTGTCAAATTCAGGTACCCGCTCCCCCTCCCTCCCCAAAGGTCAGCAGTCTCTGGTCATTCCCTGCACTGTCCGCAGTCTCTGGTCATTCCCTGCACTGTCCGCAGTCTCTGGTCATTCCCTGCACTGTCCGCAGTCTCTGGTCATTCCCTGCACTGTCCGCAGTCTCTGGTCATTCCCTGCACTGTCCGCAGTCTCTGGTCATTCCCTGCACTGTCCGCAGTCTCTGGTCATTCCCTGCACTGTCCGCAGTCTCTGGTCATTCCCTGCACTGTCCGCAGTCTCTGGTCATTCCCTGCACTGTCCGCAGTCTCTGTCATTCCCTGCACTGTCTCTCTGGTCATTCCCTGCACTGTCCGCAGTCTCTGGTCATTCCCTGCACTGTGTCCGCAGTCTCTGGTCATTCCCTGCACTGTGTCTGCAGTCTCTGGTCATCTCCTGCACTGTGTCCGCAGTCTCTGGTCATCTCCTGCACTGTGTCCGCGGTCTCTGGTCATCTCCTGTACTGTGTCCGCGGTCTCTGGTCATCTCCTGTACTATGTCTGCGGTCTCTGGTCATCCCCTGTACTGTGTCTGCAGTCCATTGGTTCAGAATATTTTTTTTTTTTGTTTTTCACCTCTAAAACCTAGGTGCGTCTTATGGTCAGGTGCGTCTTATGGAGCGAAAAATACGGTAAATTTCATTTATGTACCATATTGCATGATCGCGCAATTGTCCGTTAAACTAGCACAGCGCTGTATAGCAGAAAAATGGCGTAAATTGCAGTATTTATACCATAGTTTGTAGACGCTATAACTTCCACACAAAGCAATCAATATACACTTATTGGGATTTTTTTACCAAAAACATGTAGCAGAATACATTTTGGCCTAAATTTATAACCAACTTTGAGTTTACTATATATTTTTTATAGCTGAAAATAAAAAATATTGTTTTTCTTCAAAATTTTTGGCCTTTTTTTGTTTATAGCGTGAAAAATAAAAAGCTCACAGGTGATCAAATTACACCGAAAGAAAGCTCAATTTTTGTGAAAAAAGGACGTAAATTTCGTTTGGGTGCAGCATTGCATGACCGCGCAATTATCAGTTGAATTAGTGCAGTGCCGAGTAGCAAAAAGAGGCCTGGTCATTAAGAGGGGTAAATCCTCAGGAGCTCAAGTGGTTAATTAATACAGCAAAGGGTTTGATTCCCAAGTTTTGGCAGGCTGATGAAGCACCAAAATTAAAGACTGGATAGAGAGAGTGGAGGGAATCTTTAGAATGGAAGAACTGTAACATATGGAAGAGAACAAAGTGGAAAAAATTTAGGAAAACATGGTTTAGTTGGATGAAATTTAAAACCTCGGAAATATATAAGGAATTGATTAGAGCAGAGGGGGAAGTTTAGAGACTAGAAATTAGAAGAGTCTTTGTAGTAAATATTAGAAAGAGAAGAACTTGATGAAGACAGGTGTGAGAAATGATTTAGATGGGGAGGGAGGTAGGGAGGAGAGGTGGGAGGGAAAGGTTAGGGGATAATGGAATATATATGAAATGTTTTATCTTTATGATGGAATTGAGGTTTCTTTTTTATATACGAAAATCAAATAAAAATGTAAATAAAAAAAAACAGGTAGCACAGGATGCAGGTGTTAAAAAAAAAAAAAAGCTATTAAAATTAATTTTGAAGAAAAGCAGTGCATTTTTGTTATTTGACTGCTGTCCCTGCATCATAGTACATATCTGCAGTGTTAGGTTGTTTATGTCATATCCTGCTTGATCCTACCTCTGATGACTACTATTCTAATGGGATCTATTTATTTCAGTAATGTGCTGCTTATTGTTCTTCTGAGAGCCTGCCAAAGAGAAGGCTGTTCCTGAGACCTTCCAGTACAAGTATCTCTCTGCATATGCTTCATTAATTTTCCTGACACTTGTTGATTATCATCCCATCAGTTCTCTGATCATCAGTAATCAAGGACAGTCCTACAGTCAATAAACAGAATACTGTCCCTCTACCATTTTTCCATGATGGCTGACTGTACACAGCCACAGAATGGAACAAAGTATAGTAAATAGGTCCTAAAATTATCTGGCCACTACCAAAATATTGCTTATCAAAACTTTACATAAGTTTTCGGTCTTACACTTGTGACAGTACATTGCCCTGTCATGGTATAAAAGAGGTTTTGTGTCACCCAGGCTTCTTCTGTCATTCTCAGAAAACTGAATTGTTAGTTTTCTTAGGGAGTGGTAAATGTTGGATTGGGTTCTGCAACTCAGAGGCTTTGTAGAGACAGGAGAGGCATCAAGGCTCCACCCTGGGTCCACATTTTGTGGACAACCAGCACACCAATTCTGCAGATGTGCACAGGGCTTTTATAAGGCCTCTTTCATACGGGCGGTTGTTCTGCCACTAGTAAATGCATGTTTTTTTATTTTGAAATTACATCACTCCTGGCACAGAGATCACTTGTGTTTGTACATTGCGTTTATGTGCGATTTTCGCATTTATGTGCTTTTACATGCGGCTGCGTTTAGCTGCAGTAGTAAATTCTTGCCTCTTCTATGGCAACTGTTTACTTTTTTTCTTTGTACTGTTATTAACTGCGTTTATGTACATTGCTCCTGGACGCTGTCAAGTTTGTTTTTCCTTAACGCATAAAACCGTATGTTATGAAAATGTTGCTAAACGCAGTGTGTCAATGGAGCCTTAGGGATGCATTGTCTGCATTTAGCTGCGGTAAATAAGTTCCTCTAACCGCAGCTAAAAGCTGAAATCTAACCGCCTGTGTGAAAGGGGCCCAAGAGAGATGACTAGTGTTCAAGACTTCACCCAAGAGGCAGTAGGCTCTGCCCAGGAGTCAGGGTGTGAGTCAAAACAGCAGGGAGCAGCTAGAGTCAGTGCATGTGTGCACAAGAGCCTGTGTGAGCATGAATACTGTCTGCAGGATCAGGCAAGGGCCTGCGGATTGAGGCCAGAGTGGAAGCACTGTAAGTGAAAGCCAGGAGACCAATGAGCATTCATTTGTGGCTGAGAAAAAATGTCCTAAATACACAATCTCTACATCTAAAAGAATTGTTTAGTACAACCCATAAAGTGATAAAAATGTGAACAAACAATATACACTCACAGGCTACTTTATTAGGTACACGTGTTCAATTGCTTGGTAACAAATTGTTAATCAGCCGATCACATGGCAGCAACTCAATGCATTTAGACATCTAGACGTGGTGAAGACGACTTGCTGAAGTTCAAACCGAGCTTCAGAATGGGGGAAGAAAGGGGATTTAGGTGACTTTGAACGTGGCTTTCGCTCTCTCTCTACTTCTTTTACTAGGTTGAAGCTGATTTCCGTGTTTGTGGCTCCTTTAACTAGTTAAGCTGGCTATTAAACTATATCAACTATTTTCTGCACTAAAAAGAGCGCTGTTGCACTGTATAAACGGTATGCATCCTGAGCTACGTAGATTATATAGTCCTGTGTTCTGGCAGTCAAGACC